CTGTTTTCGTGAAACTTTGGCCAAACTGTTGACACTCATACCAACGGTGCAGATTGATTTCAATCCTGTGTCTGTGTCTTCAGGCAGCCGTATAGGATACTGTATTGTGTGCCACAGTTGCAGCGTCTAGCAGGTTGATGTTTGGTGGCGCTAGGTTCGTGGTAGGCGGTCAGATGCTTGACAAGGCATCCAACTTCCATTCGTGACACTCATTTGCCGTCTCGTCGCTAATTACAACTATCATTTACCAGAAATCAGCTATCACTATGAACAACTTCTAACCAGATTTATTTGGAGGCCGTCGTCAGCTGTAGTATTTGTTCTGCACTGGACACTTTCTCGCTTTTTGAAAGAGAGGTAAGGTGGAACCCTTTTCAATCATGCTGCTGCGAAAGCAAGCAAATGGGAACCCGTCAGTCGAGTAGGGACCACTACCCTATTGACTATGGGAGATTTGAAAACCGTATTTGAGATCAGCGCCCAAAAACACATCCACAAGCCTGGGTCGCGTTACATTTGGCTTCGATCCTTTCATCCTCTCTTGGTAACCAAGCTTGCTATGCACCCACTGGGGCCACGATACAGACCATGAGGACATTTGTGTAGCCAATTTCGGTACAATAAATGTAAATTTTGAAAAATTTATTTACATCAGAAGAAGATGGAAAATGAAACTTTGTTGTTAACTTTCGTGCAACTTGAGAAAGAGCGCGTCCGTAGTGTAGAAGGAAGCTCAGTAGTGGTCATGGCCTGAAATTGAACGAAATACTTCTTTCAACTAAAGTTTCTCGAAATCGACCATTTTCCTGTATCTGCTTGCAAACTCTGCTTTGCGACTTCTCGAAGGCTTATTCTACCAAAATTGTAATGGTACCCTACCGTAATGATCACCATGGTGGCCCAAGTCATGACCGTGTCCATGGAAGCCGTGACCGTAATGATCGTGATCGTGACCGTGATGTCCGTGGTCGTGGCCGTGGTCATAGCCGTGATCGTGATCGTGGTCGTGGTGGTGTCCATGGAGGCCGTGACCGTAATGATCATGGTCGTGATCGTGACCGTGGTGTCCGTGATGGTGGTCATGATCATGGTCATGATCGTGGCCGTGGTCTCCATGGTGGTACTCATGTCCGCCTGCATGATGCTCCTTACCGTGGTGTCCTTCACCGTGGCCGTCATCGTATGAAGATCCTAAAAACCAAATGGTGGACGTTTTTGGGAGGATATCACGAAAAAAGATTACCATAATGCGATCCATGTTCTTGTCCTTTGGCGGTATTCAAAGAGGTAAACTTACCGTAATATGATCCGTGTTCCTTTCCTTTTGCATAACTTCCCCATCCACCGTACTTGTGGCTGCCGTAGTCACCGTATCCACCCTCATCGAAGCCTTTCTTGAAGCCATCGCCATGGGAGTGATCGTGTTCGTGCCCGTGGTGGCCAGCACCATATTCACCATAGCCGTGCTCATAGTGGTCTAAATAAGGACAAGATGCTCGTAGTAGGGTCTTATGAGCGCTCAGATAGGCTGTCATATTGAGAGATTGCTTTCAACTTACCATCAGCATAGGCGATGCAAATCAAGGCAAGCAGTGAGGAGATGATGAGGGTGTTCATGGTTGAAGACGATGTACTGCGAACAGTGGATGGAATAGCCGATCATTCCCCTGCTTATATACTCTGCATCACTGCAGAGCCGGTGGGATCACTGCGATTGTCTTGCAACGCCAGCAGGTTTCAGATGTTCTCTAAAAAGCAACACCATGGAATAATGGGCTTATAGTCAATTGACATTCCTTTACTTACTTGCAGTGTTTTTAGTAATTACCAGATTATTTCCGTGCTAGTTACAGGTTTTATGGTGCTTCCGTCTACTAGCTGGATAACATGCCGCGGACGTGAATAATTGCTTTGTTGTCATCCATTTGCATCTACACATACTGTAGGACAGTTACCGCATATGACGTGCCTCCATTTTGGAACGAGAGGAGTTGCGGGTGGGACCAAACATCACAAGTGACGACGGTCAAGGCTTTTTTCTTGGCCTTGGCGTCATTTGTGGTGTATGGTTTGCAGCCGACACCCTTCTCGTTTTTTAAAGTATAGGGTATTTCCTAAAATATGTACATGTGCATAAGTGCATGTCGATAAAGGTCACCGTCGCGCAATTCCTTTCCCAAATTTTGCGACTCTTACTGTTGGGGGGGGGAGGCTCTAATACAACACTCTCTTCCCCTCCTAGCGATTGATATCCTTAGGCATCATGGTTGTTCTTGATTCTGAGGACGAATCGACACACCTAGCTCCGCCCACTTATCCCCTACCACGCGGGACTCCGTAGAAAAGCTCACCCGCGGCGCGGACGCGTTCGCGTGTTGGTGACGTCATTTTGGCGTAAGAGCGACGGCGAAAGAAGGAGCAAGAGCCGGCGTTGCCGCCAACTCTTCAATACATTGGGTACTGCTAGCATTTATTGTACTTTAGTTTCACTGGCAGTAAGTATTGGTGTAAGAGGGAATCGCAATATAGATGATTTCATAAGAACGAACTTCAGTTTGATTGCGCGCTCCTTAGATTTACACATTGAGGTTATTGACCCTCTTCATTCCATTACGGAGTGCTATATCTGGAACAATACAAAAAAAAACAATTATTTCTCTCCCGCACTTTTGATTGTATCGGATTATTAAATACTATCCACCTTGTCACTATTCGAGCGAAACCCTGCCGCAACTGCTCTAGCACGCGCTCGCGTCCGCGCCGGCGGTGTTTTTCTCCCCCCCCTACTCGGAGTGGTGGTCAAAGCGGAAGCGGTATCATGAAACGGCAAAGCCACCAATTTTGTCTAGTTCACTCTATTTTCGTGAATTTTTGGCCAAACTGTTGACACTCATACCATTGGTGCAGATTGATTTCAATTCTGCATGTCTTCAGACAGCAGCCGTATAAGATACTGTATTGTGTGCCACAGTTGCAGCGTCTAGCAGGTTGATGTTAGGTGGCGCCTGGTTCGTGGTAGGCGGTCAGATGCTTGACAAGGCATCCAACTTCCATTCGTGACACTCATTTGCCCTCTTTGGACGGCCTAATCAATTATAACAGGTACTGATACAGATATCAAAAACTCACAGCTTTTTGAGAACTGTACCACTACCTGGTATGTGTTGCTTTATACGAAGCCCCCTCTACTCTTGACGAGCTTCTTCCATCAGCGTCCCGAAAGAACGCTACGATATTTTGCGAGAAACGGCAACATGGGGTACTTTGTAATTAGTGCAACACCGCCAGAAAGCAAGCTATCATGTTGCAATCAGTTATTCTAGCTGTCCGTCTCTTGACCAGTCGCATGTATACCCTTCCTGGAAACTGCAACAACAATTGGTGAGATCGGCTGATTTTCTTGTGTTTGCTAGGCTTAAACAAAATAAACATAATAATTGTAATATGAACGTCGAAAATAACTGTCTATGTTTGTTTTCTTCGAAATTTCGAAGAGAAGTTTCCCTTTTTTTCCAAACAATTAGGGACGCTATCGAAAGATACGGTGTATCCTCTAGGACTAAGCCAGGGAGGGACCAGGATAATTGGGGTGTAAAACAAATTGCTCACGCAGACTGGAGCATCTTCTTCTCCACCTAGGCTCAGCCCCATTTTTGCAGAACTAGATTTTATATATGCGTGTTTAACAGACTCCACCATCAAATGCCCCGTATTTGCGTATGGGCAATTGTTATTGAATAAATGGTTTTCAATGTAATTCGTATTTTTTTCTCAGTACTGCTAATGGAAGAGTAGTGCTCGAAGCTGGACCTCATACCGAAAACACCGTGAATCCTACCAAAGTGGCCAAGTTCTCATGTAACTGTCGATATCTCTGGCTCAGAGAACTCCATGGTGTCTCAACGCTCATGATGGTAAGGACTTTGAATATGGAATATTTTCGTGCATTGTTGATAATCTAATTATGTATTTTATATATGAGAAGAATATAATTGATAATTACATCGAAGTAATTGAAGTTGTTCCTTGTGACGTAAGTTTATGGAAAGCGGGTAAACGGGTGGGAAGAAAGTCAAAAAGGGCTTCCGGTATCTCTCGTCGTGGCAGCGTGAAGACTGGGATTCACCATTAAGCTTGGCTTCGTCGTGCACATGCACTAGGATTTGATAAAATTGGTACCAACGGAGGTTGCAATTTGCCTCTGGGCGAGAGAGGGCGGGGTCTGTAGGAAGGACAGTTTAGGCCTAACGAAGAGGGACGAATACCATAGAAGATGGAAAATGCTTGCGGGCCACAGAGTTTCTCTTCTCTTCTAAGGTTTCGATCCTGCAATTCAGTATTCTCACAAATTTAACGCTCTGACGCAATGCTACGAACCCCCTCCGGAGCAACGTTCAGCGGTTAAAGAGCACATTCCCGAAATATTTCAAGAGAGTGAACCCTTGCTTAAACAGGTGGTCTAGTTGGGCCGCAGAGTTCCCTCTGTTTCAGAAAACCAGAAACGTGGAGCGCAGATCCACACCACAAGTGACGACTGCCTCAAAGTGACTGTTAACTAAGGATTCATAATGAAAGCTGAGGTGATAAATGATAGTAGTATTAGTGACAACTAACAGAGCAATCGACTGCAACCGGCTAATCATTTTATTGGCCGAAGACAACATCGCCACTTGTGGTGTGCGGTCTGCACTCGAAGGGTTTCCCGTTTTCTGGAGCAGGGTGCTGTATAAGTTTCTTGTACAAGTTTCGCGCCACGAATTTTTGAGGCAGGACCGTGTTTTCGAGCGATTCGCCCTAACTCGATCTTTGCGCGTTGGAATTGATAGCTGATGCCATCTGCGTTTGCTCGTATCCTATGCTTTATCGAGCGCTGCGCTGCCGTCGCATCCGTTTACTTTCCAAAATCGAACGCCAATTCTTAAGTGAACCGTATAAAGGAGAGCTCATAGTGAGGCATTTTACCGCTTTCTTCTAAGCGATTTTCGTACTTCTAAGATATAACGACATAAGCCCTTGCCGTGCTTTTCTGAAATCGCCAGTAAATATTCTGGGCCAACTTAGGAGCCCATCGCGCGGCGAGAAGTCAGGGACACAGATGGGTCAGTGGACGAGTCGCAGCGAGTAATGTGCGATGGACGTGCTGAATATACAGATTCTTTTTTTCAACTGACGCCGAACCGCCACACGCGCGCTGCTTCGAGTCGCCACTAACGTGTTATGTTTCCGCTTGTCAGCGATGGGCCTCTGTCATTTACGCCAAATTTTAGCAGTCGGGAGCGTGCCTTTCGGACCAAACAAATGTGATTTCAGAATGTCGTCCGAATTTCAATGGGTGTGATGGTGCGTCTACAAATTTTTAGAACTCTGATACACTTGAGTGCATATCTTTGTTGGAGAGAAGAAAGAACCTTTTTAGCTCGAACTCACTCGACGAAAAATCTTCTGGCTGATTGTGATCGTGATATGTGGAGCAACGTCGATACTTTTCGCTGATTCCATTATGCAGTCGTTCACGGATAAAGGTTTCAGCACCCGGATCACCGTCATTCCGGTAAGGGTTCACATTCCGAACTCACGATTAGCAATCGAAATCAGGAATCTCGAATTTCGTTTTTATAGTAACCGATTTGAAATGAGAACATGCGAACTCATGGCCACATGATTGTAGCTGTATCTAAAAGTTGATCTTATTCAAACAGAAGCTCAACTCGATTTTGTCAAAGTTCTAATTTATAGTTCATTTTTCGAATTTAATCTTTTTATTTCAACATTTTTCAGCCATCAAATTTCAAGCAAATTTCATTTTTGCAGGTGAAACAACTAAAATACCCAACTCTAGTCTTTTGTCCGAAGAACAGCGACAATTTGCATCTCGAGCCACTACTAAACGGTGAGAAGCTCATAATTACCTACTCTCATTCCATTCAACAACATCAAGTAATAAAATCGATACAAGGAAATTCAAAAATGAAATCAAAGATTGAATATGAGCAAAATTCGTAGGCAGTTTTTTTTTCGCCCTATTGCTGCCGTCGGGTAATTTTTCCTGGGCTACACTTTCTAGCTTCCTTTTGCCCTAACTTCACTTCCACTTGCCGCGATTCTTATGCGATGCTCTTTGTTGGCTTGCTGTTCACTTCAATCATATGAGTAACCTTTACTTCAGAAGAGCTAGCAGTTCTTAAGAGCAGCTATTACGATATTTTGTGTAGGGGTTTACAGGGATCTGAGGCTGTTCTATGGTACGGCAATGGCGGGAGAAGCGGGGAAATACCTCAAGAAAACGTGAAAAGGGGACCCCTTGTTGATCCGTTGGTCTTCGTTCAAGGATGGACAGCGGCTAACAGCTGACATGTAGACGAGTTTACCGCAAGGGGTTTGGTGGCACCTTGCCTATTCATGCTCCACGCGAATTGCTCCAGTTGTGCCGCTACTGCAAGCACGGGCTCGTTCAAATCACCAGTAAACTAGTGGGAGGATCGTTAAGGGCGGAGTGCTTTCGAAGTCCTGCTCAGCAACCAGCGCACCTTTCGTCGAGAGCGCCACATCTCGCTTCCTTGGCAGCCAAGTAACTGCTTCGTGTGGTGCATATGCTTTCTCGATGCGCTCTATCTTTATCGTAATCGCTACCATTATGTAAGCAAAGTAAAACAATAAAAGGTATAGAGCGAAGTAACGTACTTAAGAGGCAATTTTCGATTTTTTAAATCACGTTTTCGGACGGATGAGCGTATATTTTGACATAAAAATAGCGGGCTTCGACTACTTTAGCTCAATTTATCAGTAAATTCAGTAAGGGCGGAGGCGGTACAGTGGCAAGGTGGTCTTGCTTGCGATCAAGGCTCGGCGTTCAAATCAACGACCATTATCCCAGTACATATATCGAATGGGCCTTCCGTCAAGGAAGGGTGAGATCAAAGGCAAGACTCGAGGTGAAACATTAGGTGTGGAAAAGCGACGACGCTAGAGGTGGAGAGTGATCTGGAAAAGAAGCAGAAAACAGGGGGAAACCCTTAATTACACCCCTTAATAAGGATCCCTCTACTTCAGCTCCATTCCGCCTTGACATAGAGAAGAGGCGCATTTGACGAGTTTCACGAAATTGGCTGAGTCGCTTCTATGGCCCGTCGACTCGGAACTGCAATGGAACCGCTGCCGCAGCTGCGCCACGTGGCAACCGACAACGGAGAGTAGGACTTGCGAGCGAAGGCGGACGAGTTTGAGTTGCTGGTCGGACGAGCTGCTTGCGCCTTTGTCGCACACTTTCAAGCGGCAAAAGGGGCACGGCATCAACGCTTGTCTACTACCCCGGGATCGAACAGGCGAGCGCGCCTAACCCCCGAGCGTGCCTTCAATGGTGTTGACCAGTCTAGGGGAATAGAAACATTAAAGCCTCCAGCTTCCAAAATTCATTGCATAAGCTGCATCGAATTCAAATGCCATTACGATTCTAAACGGGAAAAAAACGTCCTGCAAATCTCAAAAGGAGTTGGTCAATAAGTTGCTCTTTCCGTGATTTAATAACACTTTATTTTGAAACAAATTCCATCACTTTCGTTTAGAGCTACACCACCTTTTCAAGGAAATTTCCTGGCCAGAAGGGTTCCCTTTCTCAATTCCACAGACCGTGGACATTGACCTGTGTAACACTGATGAATCATGGCAAAATACTGAACTTCTTTCAAATAAAATCTTACCTAAAATCATCTCTGGTTGCACCATGGACCAAGATTAGGTTCAAATTATGTCTTTTTCTTCTGAGTTCGACCTCTAGGGTCATTCAACTGTTGGATTTGCTATAATGTTTAGCTTCTTGATATGGCAACTGCAGAATCTTATTCCAATAACCTCTTTTATTGGCAGATATTTCGACGAGGATTCCCAGCCTACCAGAGGAGAATGCTTATGATTTAATACGCTACATGATCGCTGGAAATGGGTTCCACAACGTCCCCGTGAACAAGTGGAACAAAGACAAGAGGTAAGTAGACGTTTTGTCATTCTCTCATTAGCTGGAAGTGAACGCGTGCGTGGAACAGGCAGCCCGGTCAAAAAGCGAGAATTCTTTGGTTAGATGGGCTATTTCCATCCTGTATCCTCAAGATTTACCGAAGGTATCCTCCAGGCTACCTTCGTTAAATCTTGTATTGTCCTACACACCTACTCGATGAGCGTTTTATATTATGGACTACTTGTCTCCTTCCGAAAATCATGAATCCCACTCCGATCCATTTCGTTGAGCTTGGTGCATTGGATGGTTGATCCTAGGGCAGGGGCTTCTGACTGTTCCCATCCGCAAAACTAACTCATCTCTGGCACTACAGAAGTGTCTATGGGCAGAAAAGTCTATGGTCAGTTATTACGAAAGCATTGAATGCATCTTTAACCGTCCGCAAGGTGAACATAAAGTTTCGGATAAGTGTTCAAAAGTAAGCTACACCTTCTAGCTTTCGTCTACCCTGAGTTGACCCCCACCCCCGAGGGCTTCAAATGCAAGCCCCGGGATAAAACCAGTGGTAAAAGCGCTTCGTAATGATGACTGAGCTGCGGGACGGCCTGAAAGTGGAAAGGAAAGCTAGAGAAATCTTTGGGATCGCTGAAATTAAGGCCTTAACCTTCAGAAAGTCGGATGTGGAATAAAGGCGAGGCAAGGCGTAGGTAGGTGCCTTAAAATTTCCCTCGCGGTATCCTTTCCACAAGTGAGGCTAATACCGGGGTAAGCCCAGTAGATGGCTTAGACATGGTAATAAAAATGTTGTACTCCTCCTGATTTCAGCTGTGACTTCTTTTCAAGCACGAAGAAACATTTATTTACACTAATATTCGGAACATAAATGACGGTTCGAGTGGCTGCTGGCGAACGCTTCTTCGTTTCTTATAGAAGCTCAGTAGTGGCCGTGCCCTGAAACAGATTTTTTCGTCAGTATTTGCTACGGACAAGAATTTTTTTGGATCTGCTTACTGTGCCGATAGAACAGTCCTTTTCTCAACCATAACAACTGACCCTAGCTCAAAAATATCCATAAATATCCAAAATCCTCACCGTGATGATCACCATGATGGTGGAAGTCATGATCGAAATCATGAAGTCCATGGCCGTGATGGAGTCCGTGGAAGCCGTGACCGAAATGATCATGGTCATGGCCGTGGCCGTGGTGACCATGGCCATGATCGCCATCGTGGTATTCGTGTCCGCCTTCGTGATGTTCCCCACCGTGGTGGCCCTTACCGTAACCGTCATCGTATTCGGATCCTGAACATCCGGTAGTTGAATCAATTACATGGAATGAATTCAAAGAGGTAAACTTACCGTAAGTATGATCCGTGTTCCTTTCCTTTTGCATAACTTCCCCATCCTCCGTACTTGTGGCTACCGTAGTCGCCATATCCGCCCTGGTCGAATCCTTTCGTGTAGCCGTCTCCATATGATTGTTCATGGTCGTGCCCATGGTGGCCTGCACCATATTCACCGTAGCCGTGGCTGTAGTGATCTGAAAATGATGAGTTTACCTTCAGATTCGCCAAAAACTTAAAGGCAGGGATCGCTATGATTGGAGAGTGGTGCGATTTTGTCGAGTAGTCGATTGAAGGGCATTTAGAGGTGGTCCCAGCCACGGTACAAGCGCACCAAGGAGTCTATTCCATCGAAAACATTCAACGGCTTTACTGGAACCGCAATGCCTCCCATTCCTCTACAGGCATTCTTCGTAACAACTCACCGTCAGCCAGTGTGGAGCACACCAAGACAGCCAGTGCGGAAAGGACGAGGAAGTTCATACTGAAATCTGAAGCCACCAGAGGAGCTGATGATGATGTGCTGATTATCCTCCGGCTTATATATTCCCCGCCAAAGTAATCAGCAATGTGATGGGCTTGCTTTGATGAATACACCAGCCGGTTCCGAATGTCGTTCACAGGTCCAGTAGGCTACCAACACTACAGCGTTTTTAGTCCATTGGACCTAATTACGTTGACTTTTTCGTAGTTTTTTGTTGTTCGAGGATTGTCAAAAAGTGGTCCGATGACTTGATCACAATCCTCTGTGTTTGAGAATGTTTAGAAGTGGTTGAGCTGGGCGATGGATCAGCTACTGACTTGGACGTAAATTGTCTTCCCAGTAACACATCCTTGTTGACCCCATCTTATGCGTCAGTCTCCTCAGAAGAAACTTCGTTGAGCCTTTCTGGTCGTAACGCGGGATAAAGACGATGTGGATAATAAGGAAAAGCAAACGATAAGAAGTTGAATTATATACAGCTGTGTTCATACTTCAAGACTACGGAGATCAGGAGATTATACGATAACGAAAATGGTATATATCGATCAAGAAGCTAGGATAGCAGCACATCCACAGGACATCCTGCTGAGTGTCGGATACGTTATCGTATCAATGTCGTATCAACGCATCAATGCGACAAAAACATCCATGCCAGTGTAAAATAGTCTCCAATGCTTGGCGTTGATTGGAAACCTGAAGTTCATTGAGAAAGTAGCTTACGATATCGGGATATTAGTATAGTAGAAGATTGGGACATTCCGCTGAACAGATTAGATACCTGCTGATTGGCCTGCACGTATGTAGCACCTAAAATCTTGGATTCCTTGTCTACTGTCTGCGGTCTAGAGAAATGAAAATTCCCTGTCTGCGTTTCCTTCGAGTCGATACTTGCTCTGTGCTTCTCCAGGCACTAGATAGGTGCCACACTTACAAGTCCAGAACTCTTAGTCCCTCCTATTACTATCTCCTCATCCAATTGGACTTCGTTCCCATGTAATTTTTATTTTTCCGTGCGCGCTTGATGAAATTCAAACCTCATCCAATCTTTGTTTTCCAGAGAATGCCCGGAGTAATTTCTTTTTACTTCACTTTTTTTTAAATTATATTTTTATGTATAACTTCGTATAATGTATGCTATACGAAGTTATTACGCAACACCCAAAGCAGAAGTCGTGTCGAAGACTCTATTCAGTAGGTGGGGAAAGAGCAGCTGACGAGTATCAGAGATGTGTCCTTGTTAAAGGATAAAGGATAAAGCATTTGCCGTTGATCAATCCCTTTTTGGGATGCGGCACGCATTCTACTTCCATTTGTACATTCGCAGTGGCGTTTGAATGCGATGTGGCCTATACAATGACTTGCGGGGGCCAGCCGATGTACAAGTCAGTGTTTTTATCCTCCCAGACAAGTCTGGTACCAATTAACCGACCCCGGAGGGATGGAAGGCTTGGTTGGCCCGGGCGACTCACGACCCAGGATTTGATCCCGGACCGCTCGCGTGGTAAGCGCGCCACTTGCCACTACACCACTTCCGCCCTTGTTGCATCCCGAAAATGCGCGACAATGGCGCTAAGGTCTTACAAAGTGAACTTATTGCAACTACTCTTAACACTCTCAGTCGCGAACACCTCATGACATGGGGACGTGGATGACGGCGTAGCGGCTCATTCGAATACGCGCGAGTTAGTTGAGCCGTCACTCCGCACAACTCGTCCGGTCCCGCCCTTTCTTATTTGAGGAGTAATACTAGTTTAGGGTTTCCTCGACGTTTTCTTTGCTTCTTTTTCACTTTTTTATTTTGACAAACTGTGTATCCACAACTCTGTTATCGACCGCTGTGACTCTACAAAATTTGATCTGGGATTCTTCCTCTGGAGTGCACACATGTTTGTTCACTGCGCCTCAACATGTGCAGTGAACATGCGCAAAGATCGCTCAGTTACTGTTCTGTTCAGATCACTTTCTGGCACACACTGATTTGTCTGAGTCTGTGACTTCAGTTCCACGCTTAGCAACGTCTCGATCATTCTCTCCTGTAAATGATTTTGTTCGGAAAAGCGGCTCACGTAGTACAGTAAACAGGGCGTGTACCTATAGGTCACGTCGCGGAGAAATGCACAAGCGTGCCGCATCGTGACCTATTCTGAGGACGCCATTTTTGGCCTGCTACATTGTGAATTACCCTCTCCTGAAAAACATCGTGTGCAAAACAAAGAACCATGTGGTCCGTATAGTTGCATGTAAATGATCCTTTTTTATGTCGCTCATTCTAGACAAAAATGTATTGCTCTGTCTCGCAGATTTGCTTTGGGCTGCGCGACGCATTCAACTTCCACTCAGTATCGCAAAGGGAACCTGAAGACGATTTGACTTATACAATGGCATGCTGGGGTCAACCGATGAACGCGTCAGTGTTTATATCCTACCAGACGAGCCCGATACCACCTAACCAACCCAGGAGGAATGCAAAACATGACAATGGTCGACGCACCTTCCAGAATTTGATCCCCGGAGCATTTGGTGAGCACTACACCACTTCTCCCTTATAATATGCAATATACCCATATATCAACATTCTATGGGATGTCCAATGTCCCTGCGCGGTGCACTGTTACAGTGCTTTGCACTTTACGAATTACGAAGGCGGGATGTGCGCGTTCCCGGGCGCGAACAGTGCCAGGGTTTCTGCAGCTGCCTGGACTTATTGTTTCTACTGCGGCTAAGTCCTTAGGGTGCTGCACTGTTTGCTCCCGCGGACGCGCACTTTGGTGTGCGAAACTTATCGTCTAGATACGAAATAGCCTTCGCATGATATCTCATTGCTAGGTGACCTAGCTTGAACCTAGCTTGGTCAAATAATAAAGCATTACAAGGACAGGGGGTGCTTCAGTTCATCGCGAGGTTACTAGCACAAACACACAGTGGGAAGAACAGAAATGAGGTTTTTCTTCAAGGACTGTGATTCAAGGGTATGATGGCTGAAGCTTCCCTAATTGATGGTGAACCTTCGGCATACAGGGCATGGCTCTTAATAAGGTTTGTGAACACTATGTTCTGCAATGCATGCTCTGCTGCGTGCTCCTATATTGGTCACAAGGTTGGTAAGGATCGAACACTGCGATTGACAGTTGCTGGACAGTCATGGGTGTGTGTGGATGAGCTGCAATAACTCTGCTCAATGCATCTCACTCGTGCTTAATAGGAGATGTTAAAAGGGGCAGAAAGCCTGAACCAATCGCCCAATTCCTTCCCGCTCCAGAAGTTCTCCACTTCGGCTAATCGATGCGCTCAATTAAAAATTTCGCGACCTACGAAGGAGTTAGGATCGAACGGGTTGACAAATGTTGTATTCATAAAAGGGAGTAAAGTAAGTACGATACGACCTATGGAAAGGAATATGTTTCCAGTGAAGCAATCGCCCCAAAATAATTTTGAGATCCCCTAAAGCAAAGGCAACCAATACCTGCCTTTTCATTGCTACCACACATCGCTTCGATCAGAACTTTTCCCCCCATTATTACTGTCGCGCGATCGAACGTCGAATACATTTGAAAACTGTTCGTCGCAAAGAGTAATCCTTATTTACGGCTCAAAATTCATGGATTCGATTTAAGGCGTAGACGCCAACAAAATCGCTCTGGTCCCAAGTCTCGCACTGTCGTAAACGTATTGAACTTCGGTAGTGAAAGGGCTTTAAGCTTATGGTCTTAACCACGCTAGTATGCTGAGGGGTCTAGTCCATCAGTGACGTTCATGAAAAGTGCCTGGGTCAACTGTACAGGTGAGCCGATTGCATGTGGCTAAAGTTTTGAATGTTTGAGGTGACAGCGTCATGAACATACTGATTCAGGCATCGAGTGTATGCGAAAGCCTCAATCGAGGAGGAGTGGGTTATCCTGCCTGTAAACCACATTCACGACCAATGCCACTCGCGGCGGTCTTTGGGCGATTGCTATGGCCTACGTACCTGTGCACAAGATGCTTTTGGAAGGATCCACCTATTATATTATTTTGGCTTCGAATACGTGCTTAAAAAAGAAATGAACCATCATCAAGCAAGAATCAGGTGTACATGAAAGTGCAGTAAGCCCAGCAAGCGCCTATGGGGACCTGACTTCTCCGAAGTTTTGACCACTTCCTGATTGATGGAGACCTTGACTTTGGTAAAATACGTATGCGTGACGCAGGCAGTAACCACCTCTTGTTTGTTACCACCGTGTTCATAGTTTTAATGGAATTGTGTACAAAAATTATGCATCTATCACGCCTAAACCGTACGTGACCTGAAGCCTGTCCTTTCAACGTGTAACGAAAATTCGCGGTCGTCCTGTCAAGCAAATCCAACGAAATAACTCTTTCAGCGTTCGGAATCGCCTCGTAGAATTCCGACAGAAACGCGCTTCATTTCCCGCTAAGTGCTGCAGTTGAAAACTCTTTTAGATTGCTCGACCAATAGGCAAGAATTTCGCTCCTCTTATGTACCCAGTCTATTGGCGTAAAACTTATGTCTTGAGCTCTCCCAAATTCAGATGGTTTATTACCATATCTTTTATGCCATGCGTCATGCTAATGTTCACTGGATGCCCCCCGCTAGAGATTTCGTTCCGTAGCGATTCCCCAGTCGCCCGCCGCAGGTGTCATGTGGACTGTCCACACCCGCAAATTCTTCCCGAAGTTTGGTTTAGCTTTTCGGAAATATGTTATTGAGTATCGAATCTTCGGTAGGTGCAGCTAGTGATCACTCGTGGTCTCGGGAGAACAGGAAAACAACAGCAAGTTTCTATGCACGACTTCTTTAGTAGCAACACATGTGTTCGTCATCAAAACTTCACTTTGATGTGCAATCTCAGTCTAAAAAATGATTCCACACGATTGCTCCGGGCCACAAACCTGTATTGACTTAATTGTCCCACTCTTCAAGCACTGAGCCGGATTTTGATGTGAATTCGTCCATGACTAAAGATTCGGCTAGAAAATTGATTCCGAGGGTCAACACGAATAATCGCATCAGTTTAGCGCGACAACGCTTGGCGCCGGCGCTATCACAACAGTTGTCCGCGGGCGCCCTCCGTAGCGCAGGCTACAGACTCACTAGCAACAAGCTAATGTGCTATTCATGTTCTACGGGTCAAAGTACCTCTGATCTGAAGACAAGTTACCAGCGAATTTCGTGATCCGAGAGTTCTGGCACGAGCGTCAGGCGCTCTAGCGGCGAACGAATGTGATATTTGTGTTCTACGGGTCGAACTACCCCTGGAGGCAGGGTTTTAGCCGAATCCACAGTCATGAACAACTTTCGCTAAAAACCCGGCTCGGCTCTTCAGGAGTGGACAGTAAATGGTGCCAATCACTCCTTGTGCACATGCGTTGTGGTTTGTTTATCTCAAAAAAGCCAGGTACATCGGAATACTTTTATTAACCATTCAACTACAATGTGATGTCATCTTGGATCACACCGGAGATGGCACATCCACTATCACGACATTCTCTAGTAGTGACCTGAAATTAGCTAAATTTTCTAAGGTGTAACCAGAATGGGTTTTAGACGCCGTAAAAATATGTAAAATGAAAAACAAAAGTATTTTCTAGGTCTGCGACTTTTCAGACTTTGACTTTTCATTGCGCAGAACCACTTATGTATTCAAAACGAGTTGACGTTATTCCACTTGAAAATCGATTCTCCCCATCGATTTCGACCTATGACCCGTGATTCTGGAGCATATTAACTTCCTTGAACGAACACTGGAATTCACCCTTCCTTCATTTTACCCAAACATGAATATTTTCAGTCGGTGTCGGGTGAAGGCTGGAATACAAATATGAAGAATTTCAAGTTCTTGGCTTCATATTTGTCCGGATGTCCCGCCCACTATCGTCCCAAGACGTTTTTTTTATTAAACTTTATCTTGTGGGTAGGCGGGGCCACAAATCAAATCCCTTCAGAAGCAGTAAAGATATACCTTGTAGGTAACCTCACTAGTTCAATATACCGTACCGAAGTGGTCTCCGTGATGCCCGTTGTAGGGCCAGTCGTAGCCATGATGGTGATCGTGACCGTGATCACCATGATGATGATGGAATGGCTCGTGACCGTACTCAAAGCCGTGATGTTCGTGTTCATGACCATGATCGCCATGGCCATGATCGTCACCGTACGTAGAACCTGTAATGCATAATGATTAACCTTGATCTAGGAAGTTTTTGCGCTTATGGTTACCGTAATGCGACCCTTGCTCATGTCCCTTGGCGTAACTTCCCCATCCACCATATTTGTGGCTTCCGTAGTCCCCATATCCTTTCTGCTCAAAACCTTTGGTGTACCCCTTGCTGTATGAGGTGCCATGACCGTGGCCAAGATGGCCTGCGCCATAGTCTCACCTCCGTAACCCCAATAATCTGAAAATAGTAAATAGGAATAAAATAAATAGGGATGCTGTTGAGGGGTAAAACACCAAAAGACTTTAAAAAATGGTCAGATTTTGACTCACCGCTAGCCAAAGTGGTGCAAATCAATGCAGCCAGTGTAGAGAGGAAAAATGAGTGCATGATTTGTATTAGAACTGTTGGGTTGTGAAACCGATGACTACTGAGATTTACTCCAGCTTATATACCCCCGGGCAGCAATACGGACGATGAGCTCCAATAGTTTTTCTGATGGCGACAGCAGGTTCCAGCCTTTGTCATGAATATTCTGTCATTGCATGTTGTAATATAGTAGGTTGTACTTTTCATGTGCTCGTTTTCGCAGTAGGTGTTGAGCTGTTGAAAAATGTTTTGGTCGCATCAAATCTAACAATAGGTTTTCCAAGGGCAATAAAATGGCTTGAACTTGTGCAACTAGGTCAAGTTACACCAGTTTGGAAATCAGCAAGGATGATACAGTAAAAGTACGAAAAGAATAGGATTAAACAATTTGCCGTTGATCAATCGTTTTTGGAATGCGCCGCGCATTCGCTTTCCATTTGTACACAGTGTCACTCGAATGCTTTCGTTCTATGCAATGAATTGCGAAGAGCAAATGATATACAACTCAATGTTTCACAAGAATTGCTGGGTTGTGAACTAAATTTCGCCTCAGATAGACCCCGATAACGTAGCTTGTAGCGCACTTGGCCGGTGAGCGAGGTGCGGGTTCGTGTCCCATCAAGGGCGAAAGAAAGTAATTTGTGTGCAACATTTGCAAGGCGTACTGCGGGGCACAAAAAACAGCAGTTCCGAAGAAAACATCAACCAGATTCCTTCTACATCAACAGCTCCTGTAAAGCACAGTTGGAGGGTATGGGAGCGGGAGAGAAAATGGAAGAAAGGTCCAACCGACAACAGAACCTTAGGTTCAGGTCAGTGTAGAGGTTTCATTCTACGTGATATCTATTACGACAAGAAACCCTTTTTATCCAAACCATCCCCTCCACGAGGTGTTGAACTTACAAGTGGAACTGAGCACAGCAGGAAGAGTAGGACATGCGCAAGAAAAGGGAGATCCCGGCGGCTGTCGGGGGACGAATTTGGTCTAGCTTGCTTCAAAACTAATTGGTTTGCTACCTATTACACTTTATCGGTGTTTTTCACAGGTAATCAATTCAGATTCGAGCTTGATTACCTTTTTCATCAATGGCGTGGGAATCGATCGCAGTTGGAGATGTTTGATTTTGTTTTCAATCAAAATGGATACACCTGCGAAGAAGTGAGTATTGTTGGCTTTGCTTCGAAGTCGGTTTAGATACTCGACATTAGTTTTACTAAATTACTACCGTAGCTCAGGACAATAGCTTTGCTCTGTATAGGGTCGCAGTGTTTCTTCCTTGGCATTTTTTGTTAGATCTGCACTACCAGTAATAACTCTGGCCGAGCTGCATGTCAGGTTTTCTTTCAGATGTTCCAGTCATGCTATGCTGGATCACGGAACTTGAACTGCTGCGCCATTTTCGAACCGACATATGTAATGATGAGGGGGAGGTGAGCAGTGAATCAAATGCGTACATCAATTCATCTAATCAGCTCCACCTGCTTGTACTGAAATCATGAAAATGAAGCGGACCCTGCTAATGCTTACTGCGATGAACTTACGATCCACCTGCAGAAAAAAATTTTAAAGGATAAACTAAGATTTTGGAAGAATATTTTATAATTGAAATAGGCGAAGTCTGCTCGATTTTGGCAAAAATTTATAGTTGAAATAGGCGAAGTCTGTCGATTTTTGGGCAAAATTAATCTGCTTCAACCTGCGGGGTTTCGGGTATCTCGTTTAGTAGGAATCCGCTGCTATCGTCAGAATCACTTTCACCAAATTTGTGGGACAGGGTGCCCCTTGTGTGCCCAAAGCTGAGTCTGAAAATGAGAGACCCGTCTAACATTAAAGACACTGGTGCGGTGAATCGAATAGTGTGTGATTTTGTAACAAAACTCGACAAGCGATTAGAAAGAGTGGTCAAAAAAAAACAAAAAGCGTTTTTTATTAACACTAAAATTCCTTGTGAGACTGGTGATATGAGGGAAAGACACAGCGCTGCGAGGAGAGGGAATACGCGAGAGAGCACGCTGCGCGAGAGGGCGCAGATGCCACGTAGGCGACAAGGAAATGTCTTTGCATCGTTGGCTTTTCATTCACGACAGTGCGCCCCCAATGCGCTTGGGGACCCTTCTCTCTCGCACTGAGGATTGAACTACTTCTTTGCACCGATATCACCCCGCTGCTTCAATTTACTTCATTAATTACTACTTGCGAAGTGAAAACAACAACTTTAAATGAACTGAAACCTGGACCACCTATGTAGTTTGAGCCCCGTGTTCACCTTTGTCATGGGTGGTCTGGTAAGGCAAAGTGCTCATTCCACCGATATTGAAGAGCTACGACCGAGCAGCCTACAAGATTTCAATCGTCAACTGCTCAGATTGCGTTGGAAAGGGCATCTTCAAGTGGGACGGGATTTCACAAAAAGCTTTCAGATGCTTCCGACTCGTCGATGACTACTACCAGCGAGATGTTGACGAAACCGACAAGTTGACCTTGTACTTCCAAAAAATTCACGGAAATTCTCCTTGGGAACACTACAAGAGTGAGAAGTGATTCTCATGTTTCTTTCACTTCAATATTACTATTAGTGTTTATTCTGCAATACTGCCACTTGGAAGGAAGTGGTGTGGCGCTAGTGGTGCCCCACGCGCCCACACATCGTCTGGGGATCAATACTAGACAGGGAATATTTTGAATTCCGAAGGAGTTTTGAATCGAGACCTAGGTTAATCGATAGGGGCTTTGATGATGCTTACAAGTGTGAAAATCAAAACTGCTGTGTGAACCAGCCAAGGAAGTTATTACGATCAAAGTGGTGCCAAGTTCGATTCCCCACGGTGACAAAATTTTGCATTCTAGATTGGTGCCATATGGCGTCTGCGCTACAAATAAATGTCATGTCCGTATCAGTGGCAATCAGAATAATTGTAGTTGACTTTCTTTCTCAAATATTCAATTCAATATCGAACGCCTGCATTAACAGCCACTTTGATCGCTTAACCAGCTTCCTTGGCAAGTTGCGTAGGGCAGTTTTGCGGTCCTCACTCAAAGTTCCATGGGACTTTTTTTTTTTTGTTAAAAGGAATCTTCCACGGAAAAAGCTCCCGCCTCTCATTACCACAAAAACGATACCCTTAAAGGAATCTTCCACGGAAAGAGTGATCATTTTGTCTTGTGTGTAGGATTAGTATTATCGAAACTAACGCTTATGTTCCGTTCTTTTTGCTATGCTCATGAGGCTAGGGGCCTAAGGGGTATCGTTTTTCTAGGGTAATGGAGGCGGAGCTTTTCCGTGGAAGATTCCTTCGACACACTTTTCTGGTGAATCGGATTTCGCATAGGCCACGACGCATCATCTCTGTGTGTTGGCTACATGGCAACAGACTCGATTGCGTGAAGCGAAAAATCTCTTTTACTGTGTCTGGGCCCTGCAAGCCATTGTATAGGTCCTGTGCCTATCAGTTGCTACTCTGGACTCTGAGAAAAAAATGCATGGCTTAACAAAAAGGGAAAAAATCGATGCTCAAAAAAACTTCATCTCATCTTACTATTGCTCACCAAATTATTAGATCCCAACTAACTTTCGGGCCGTTTCCTTGACATCAGCTAATCTGATGTTTTTTAGCCCCAGATGGTCACTTACATCAGCGACTCGCACCCCGAAATTGCCATCTATCCGCGTGTTTTCTTGAGTCTCAACGATTGGAATCGGATGCGCTTCGTTCAGCGAAAAGTGTCAATGTTTTCCGGAGCGTAGCTCCTGTTCGACAGCTGCTCTGGATCAAGGTGTGATGTAGAAAGTTTTCTTTTCTGAGTCTTTAAAGGAAATAATGTCCTTGAATAGAAAATTTGTGAAGGAGAACATGTCATAAATTCATGTACCGTGTTGAATCTACCTGGTCTCAATTTTTCCAAAATCTTCAAGCGTGACGGCTTCTTATCCATCTTATCGTCCAGACTAAGTAGGAGTGCTTAAAAGCAGAGTTTACGATAAAAGGGCAGCCCAGTAGAAATCAAGGTATAGGTGGTCAATGGGCAGGGACGAAACAAACTGGTGAAATACCCTAATCCTACAGAAATGAGGCCCTTTTCTTCTGCCTTGCTTTCGCTTCGATGCGTCTCTCATCGATGGTGTGCCCTCTTCACCCGCTAACGTCCTCATCCTGCGCTGCTAGAGCGGTCCAGGAACCTGCAACGAGTGATAGGCCAGTAGTACGGTACGCCCAGCGACACAGCGGGAGGGCTACGCCAGTTCGCCGACGCTTCGATGAATGACGTTCCGCACTCCTAAGGGATGCGCCTGTTTTTTTTTCCACTGGATAAGTTTCCCCTTCTTCGACCTTTAGTCACATCGTGGAATCTTCCTTCAAGGGCTTGCTCCACGATTATGCTGGTTGTGTTCAGTTCCGCTCAAATGTAAACGTAAGTGCGCGAAGTGAATCGACAAGTAAGAGAAAGGGAAAGAACGGACGAAACCCGCAAAACACAGGGAGATGCTAGATACCGAGGAGTGAGAAACGGAGGGGGCGCCAAAGCGTCCCCTGCGGTAGGGGACGCGAGAAACAACGACAATGCGAACGGTTCGCGAAACGACCATTACCCGGGAGGTAGACCTTTTCCGCTCGAGACCACCTCGTATCCAGTCGTCGCATGTCCCTGCTGCGTCCAGATTATTCGCAACAAATCACTAATTCGTAGGGTGGTCTTCAAACTTGTGCTTGCTTCAGTCAACAAAAATAACATTACTGACCAGGGTGAATGTCGGTTAAGGATTCCTCAACGGCTCGTCGAGGATTTTCGCCTGATCAGTTACGCTCTCCCGCGCCGACATTCACACTCGCCATGCGCGAGCCGTCTGTGCTCTCCGCGCGTACGTTCACTCTCGGCACTACTCTCGCACAGTACAGAGCCATGGTCGAGGAATTCCTCGACCGTTATTCACCCTGATACAGAGCCTAATACACACTGTCCCGTCGAAAAGCCTGTTATGACTGTAAACTTAGCATCAAAAATAGCATCATTATCAACGGATCAAAAAGCACACAGGGCTTTGATTTTGGCAGAGATCACCATGCCGTGCCCTAATTAATTTTTACAGGAGACAGGCCGATTGACAGTAAGACCAAGCATCATTTATGTAGAATACGATACTTCTACTACCCCATTCAAAATCGCGTACTCATCTGTGCCACTCCTCAAGTGGTGTCCAACACTGCCATCATTTGCAGCATAAATACAGAGGACCAGAAATCGGCGTGGCTAGGCTGGGCGTCTTTCACAATTGAGTTGAAATTATATCGGTAACTGGGTTCTCATCCATTTTGATGAAGGGAGTTATACGGAATGGAAAAGAGCCTAACTGCTTGTTAGTACGCTGTGGACCACGCCCGTTTCCTCCGCTGGTCCGGGGTCCGTCAAAAATCACAGTGATTGTAATGACATTCCAGTGGTAATTGCTGGAACGCTTAGTGACCTCCTGGTCTAATCTCCCTTCTGTGTCTAGAATTATTTCTTCTTAGCTCGTATTTTTGCATATCTGTAAAATATATAAATCCTACGTCTGTTCAGGAAAATCAACGTGTTTTGTCTACAACTGGATCAACCGTGTCGTTGTTCAGCCACTGAATTGCACACTGCCGTGCTTCAAAACGATGTTACCGTATGTGGCAGATCTTCCGGTTTGTGAACCGCTGCCCGTTGTTGAACACTACAACAGTATCATCTCGACAAATTTCGACAACTACGGAGTACGTAAGCTTCTCAAATAGCTCGAAATAAGGCATTTAGAACGGTACAATTATGGACGCTGAGTTGAAGACGGGCATAGTAGCGCTGCTTCGTTTAGGTGATTAATGAAAATATGTTGTCAAACAGCCATTTCAGTGGTTGCATAGCGCAATGTTGAAACTGCCTAGCACTTCGTCCACATCGTCAGCACCCCACGTATGTGAGGTTGCTGGTCAGGAACCGCCGAGTTCTGGCCACACTCGCGACTCAACGACCGCGACACTAGGGGCTCAGGGCTTGTATAGAGGCATTCAAATCTTGCAGAGTCTCTGTCTCAGCCATATTCAATGCCCTCGTCTTCACGTCCATTCTCTTGCGTCACACTCACCGGTTTCCAGTGTCTCTCAAATTGATCCCCTCTGTCTGCCTCGTCGACACTTCACCACTAGAAAATAAAGCACTCAAAAGAGGATTCCACGATGAGTTCGAAGGTCGAAGAAGGGAAACATACCGGTAAAAAAGCAGGGGACCCCCTAATGGTGCCGACCGACACGCAACCGATATGCCCCGGCGATCTGGCATGCCCCCTCCCTTTTGCTCCCTCACCGCTGTCGCCGCGGTACGCCCACCGACTGGCTAACCACTCGTCTCCAGCCGTTCAGTAGAGAGAGCATCAGGGTTGGTGAGGACAGCACCGATGAGAGTCGCATCAGTGCGATAGGCAAGGGAAGGGTCCCTTTTTCGGGCTTTGGGCGGTTTCCCATGGCATTTTCGTCGCCCCGTCCACTGATCACCTACCTCTACCTTACCATTAGTTCTAATGGGCTGCCTTCTAATCGTCAACTCTGCCTTAATAAA